ATAAGAAATAATTTAATATAAAACACAAAATACTAGAGAAAATAAACCAATTAAGTTCGTTCTTAGGAAAAACTTATAAATCTCAGAAGTGAGGAAGGGGCCATCACTGTAGATCCCATCAGCAAAAGTAAGAATAGTATGGAAATATTATAGACTACTTCATGCCAATTAATTCAACAACTTAATACATTTTCACTTTTTTCATTATGTCCACTTCTTTTTCCACTGTATAGTTTTTAATGACTCTTTGCAGAACATGCAAATACAATTTTGATTTGAGTATTGATTTCTATTTCTGTCTTACAGTTCAGAAGACAAAATGAGAAAACACACATAGGAGCAATCTAAGGCATTCTCTGTTGGCCCTGTCTTCAAGCAAACAGACACACAGTTGTGTCTGAAGAGCCCTCCCTCGCAGCTGAAAAATTATCCTGTTTCACCTAGAGTCATTTGTGGAGCCGTGCAAGAGAAGGAAAAATCAGTATAACCATCTAGGAAGGTAGAAAAAAAAACCCCATTGTCTTCAGATTCAATAAATACTTCTTAATTAATTTGGCAACTATGTTCACACTACTATAAGCTGAAAATCTGTTCCAACTTATTTTCCATTTAGAACAGAAATTTAAATATCTCAAGTATTGAAATAGAAATGGCTAATCTCTTCTGGAAGACATCCGTATTAATCACCATACTCTAGCCTATTGAGTTAGGCAGGGTCTCAGAAGCTTTCTCACCATTGCACCTGTGACAGCTATTACCAATCAACAAGTGATCATGATGAAATGAAGCTATTTGCCATCCTCATCCAGAATTCCCATTGGTGTAGGCTTGCTTGATCCAGATTCTATCGCTATAAAATGAGGAATATAATATTTATGACTTGAATCAAGGAGTCAGAAGTGCGGTATTAAGACCATAGTGGTATTTTCTAGTTTCAAATGGCACAAAGACCATGTGAATTAAAATGAATTACTGTTTGTTAGCCTTTCTTAGTGTATTTGGTGAAATAGGCTGAAAATGCCCAGTAATGCATTATTAGTTTCCAAAACTATTTACTCATCCACCTTTAGAAAACTAGAAAAAAAAACCACATACATTTCCTAAAATGATACATAACTTAGAGATTGGTACAAATATCTAGAGTCAAGTTAACATAAATATACTTGTCTATGATATTTCAAGATTCTTATTTTTAATGATTACTTCTTTTAAAGTTGGAGTCTCACTCTGTCACCCAGACTGGAGTGCAGTGGCGGCTCCCAGCCACCGCAGCCTCGACCTGCTGGGCTCCGGCGATTCTTTCGCCTCAGCCTTCCAAATAGCTGGAACTACAGGTGCACGCTACCACGCCTGGCTAATTTTCGATTTATTGTAGAGATAAGGTCTCACCAAGTTGCCTAGTCAGCTCTCGAACCTAGGGGCTCAGGCCATTCACTCACCTCAGCCTTCCAAAGCACGGGATTACAGGCTGAGTCCCCAAGTCCGGCATGATTACTTCTTAAGCACAATTTCTTCCTTAGAGATAGGCCTTCTAAGATGCACACCCCAAATTAGCGTTATTTTGTACTGTTAATATAAAAAATTCAATATTATAATTTCAGAGAAGTAGAGTAGAATAGTGGTTACTAGAGGCTGGTACAGTAGAGAGTTGGGGAAAATAAAAAGAATGGTTAAAAGATATAAAATTTTAGCTACCTAGAAGGAAATAGTGTTCTGTAGTGCTGTAGATGACTATAGTTAACAATAATTCAGAAAAATGCAAATCAAAACCACATTGAGATACCACCTAACCCCAGTAAGATGGCCATCATTAACAAAACAAACAACAACAGTCTCTGGTGAGGATGTGGAGAAAAAGGAATGCCTCTACACTGCTGGTGGGAATGCAGACTAGTGCAACCTCTTTGGAAGACAGTGTGGCGATTTCTGAAAGAACTAGACATTGATCTTCCCTATGACCCAGCAATCTCCCTATTAGGCATATACCTGGAGGAATGCAAATCATTCTACAAAAAAGATACCTGCACACACATATTTATTGCAGCACTATTCACAATAGCACAAACATGGAACCAACCATGTCACCCATCAAAACTGGACTGTACAAAAAAATATTACACCACCATAAAGCAGGACAAACATATGGACTTCGCAGCAACTCAGATGAATTTAGAGTCTATCATCCTCCGTGATCTATTACAGAAATAAAGAACTGAGTACCACATGTTCTCACTCATAAGCAGACCCTGAACACTTACCATAATACTGTAAGAAAGGGATTGGCTGTAAGAGGATACTGCCAGGGTAGGGGGTGGGGCGCATAACGTCAATAATGGTACCTGATCTCAAACCTGGCAAAGTGGAGACCAAAGGGAGGCCCAAACTTTACCTGAATGATATTCACTTGTATACCTAATCCTGAGTTGTAACCCACATCTTTAAAATAAAATTAAAAAAAATAAAAAACAATGTTTATTACATATTTTCAAATAACTAGAAAAGAGAAAAGAGGATTTTAAATGTTTCCAATACAAGTAATGACAGATGCTTAAGGTGATGAATATGCCAGTTACCCTGATTTTATCACTATATATTGTACACATCAAAACGTCACTGTGTACTTCATAAATATGTACAATTATTATGTCGATTAAAAATAAATCAAATTAATGTTTAGACCAAAAATTATTGTTTGTGTGACCAATTTATTATCTCTGGTCTAATTCTTTGCCTCTTTGAAACTCAGATTTTTTTTTTTCCCTTCTCTACAGTGGCCAGTTTACTCAATTGTGATAGCCCTCTGGTCTTCTCAACTAAATACAATCCTTTTTTACTGAGATTAATAATTGTTAAGTAAAAATGTAGTGGTTGTCTATGTGGATAAAGTAGAAAAATCAAATAAGAGTGATACAGAGTCAGAAGAAACAATATTCAGAGAAAATGGGAGTATTTCTGCTATTTGAATACTTTAAAAAATTGTTGCAGTGAAGACCCTGGCAAGAGATGAAGTTCCCCTTCTTAGATTTTCTAACAAATATTAAGAGAAGCCTCTTTGTTAGCTAAAAGCAAACAACCAAAGATATTTTAACTCTAAAATTCAAAATTTAAGACACTGAAATGTTTTAAGATTAGAGAAATTAATATTTTCAGACTTGCCTCTCACTAAAAATCGAATCTCAACACAATTAATTTAACTCAAATGGAAACCTTTTTTAAAAAATGTTTTTCAATTTTCTAATAAGACTAAATTTATTCAAACCTCTAGTAAAAATTTTGATTCTAAGTATCCAACATTATAAAAAATGAAAAACAGATCTGTAGATTTCTAATACATTAATACAAAGTACATGACTACATACAGTGCATCCTACAGGCAAAGAAAGTCAAAGAAAGGTGGAAAGAGAAAAAAGAAGACTGTGGTTGAAGTCTAGTAATAAATAAATACAGAAGTAGAGATCCAGACAAAATGTACAAAATAAATTTTCAAAAAACTCAGGAGGATAATAATAGCTGGACTTTTGTAGTTCACCTCAAAGCCTGTGGCATAGCAATTCACTGTGTAGTCTGTGCATATGGTGGCTTGAAGCGTGTAGGTTTTGTCCAAAAGGAGGAAGTATAAAATATGTTTAGATTAAGAACCATAAAGTTATAGAATGCTCGTAAAAGGTGGCTCACTCCTTCGTGTCATACGATCCAATTTTTTAAAACTAGTTGAAAAAATAAGCAAAGTCATGTTATTCTAAAGGCAGGCCAATTCTTTTCTCTCGTTATGAAAAGTCTGAACAGGTGAGGTTTTCCTGAACATTTAGAAAAGAGGCAAGAGTATTTTGGTTTGGGTTCAAGTGAGAGGCTTTTAATGAGGATTTTAGAACTAAAATTCAGGATATCTCAATGTTCAGAAAGTCTAACTAAAAGAAGCCAAAACCAACCCACTTAGCATTAACACATACCTCTTTTAATAATTTTACTTTGAATAGAGAGAAAATAATTCCTAATAGGTTAAAAACAGGTCTAACTCCCACTCTACACAGATAAAATTCTTACAAAGGTCAACTGAAGTAAACCAGCGCCAAACTGAATTGTGCAGATTTTTAATGAAGTCATCAATCATGTAACACAAACGAAAGTCAGTTATTTACACACTCAGCACGCCCTCTAAGAAGTGTGCTCCAAGAAGCATTAACCTTTCTTTTGTGCCATCCTGAAGACTTGCACACTTTATTTTTTAGATAATTTAACATTGTTAATAGAGTGCTTTCTCCACGTGGTAATCCTTTTGTTCTGTTCATATAGGGTCTTGCCTGTCCTAATAACTTGCCATTTCCCCAAGAGGAACTTTGACTCTACTTTAGAAGTTTCACATAAATCTTATCAAATATTAATATGAAGGGAGGTGGCATGGAATGCAACATACATAGTCAAGTTACATCGCTGTATATTTAGAAACTACTTTCTCCTTCAAGGTATTTCCAACAGAAAGCTCAGTCTGTCCTGCTTAATAATCGTAGTACAGGTTTGAATCATTAGAACCCTGGCAAGAACTTAATATTACAAAATTATCAACAACAACCTTTAGGGGCAAGTTCACGTTACTGACTTAGGACGAATTTATTATCATGAGGGAAAACAAGTGTAACCAGCCATCTTAAGAAATGCCCCTACCACTGCTTCTCAATATAGAAGGACTAAAACTACATACGTTTTATCACACAACATATCTCATCTGTGTCCCCTGAAATCCCCCTCATTTCATTCATTAGAAGGGGATTTTTAAAAAAGACTTAAAGAGCACTTTATAGCAGCATTCAACTTTCCTGTGAAATACTCAGCATCTTAAATATTATGCACAATTCTTTTTTGAATAAGCCAGACACTGGCTTCAGAGTTTGTGGGGCCGGGGGAAAATAACCCATTCAAAACTATTCTAGATGTTGCCTTTTGGCAGAATAGCAGGTATCCAAGTTAAAAATAGGAGAGTCAGTTTGTAGTTGTGTGGTCTTTTAAAAATCATGTTTTGTTCTCCTTCTACATAAAAATTCCAGCCGCCACTCCTGAGTGGAGATGGGCAGAGGCCCTGGTCCCTCCTCCTTCGGCTTCTCAGCAGCTGCTTCTTGCTGCAACAATGCTTGAATAGATGTATGCCGATGAGGACTTCCCCAAAACGGTCTTTATAGATAATCCCACAGTATATTCTCTGTCTTTTCCAGGATGTGAGATCTAAAAAGGAAAAAAAAAAAAAAGAAAAGAAAAGAAATGGTGTTCCATTAGAACCAGAAGCCATCTCCGTATCTGAGCCATCATCTGAACGGTGGCTGTAACAAGGAGATTGAGCTGGGGGGGCACTTGAGGTGGTACTGTGAACATCAGAATTGTGATGTTTAAATTCCTTCTGCAGTTTATTATCTGGTTGCTTTTTATCCTGTTCCCAGACAGGGTTTTTGCTTTCTTTGGTTTCAGTGTCGTCTTTAAACTGGGACCAGCCCTTGCATCTACCACATGATTCCAGGTTTGTTTTTTTTTTAATCCTGCTGACAATTTCTTTCATCTTTTCCCAAGCAGGACACAGGCATTGCAGATGTCTCCTGAACAAGTCTCATGCAACACAAAACAGCTCTAGAGATTCTTTTCATAGCGTTTACTGTCAGTGAATCGAGAACTGGAGGACTTAGCCCTGCAAATACAGCAACAGCCCTTGATATCTGGTACATGTTTGGCTTGTGAAAACCAAACATCTTTTCTTCTGAGCAACAGTCCCCAAAGCAGCCATCCCATGCACAATAACATCCCCTAGGCGTGGAGTGCCGGCCAGGCCACCCCCTCTCCAAGCGCTCCCTCCTCCTCAACTACCTTTCTATACAAAGACCTTTTTTTATTTTTGATAGTCTCCAGTATTTTCTGAAAAATTACTCAGTTTATTTTTTTAAATCTGTCAAATCCATTTAAAATGCAGGAGACATTAAAGTCTGCTGACTTTGGCAGACCAAATCCCATTTTAAACAGGATTATAGAAACTACCAGTAGTGATTTGGTACCTTTTGATAAAGAGTCACCCACAGACTTTAGAAGTCCTCAGCATCTCTCTTTACTTTGGGTTTTTATGGTTCACCAACACTGGTATTCTCCTCTGGGCACACACACTCTGTACCGTCTAGCCTCCTTTGCAGTGAACTTGGGCCAAGGTGGGCCAAGGTGACCTGTTTGCTCCCGGATTCTCCTCTTTTCCTTCATCAGCTCTGCACTGTGAGGGCCCTGACCCCTGCAGCCAGCATTCCCAGGCTTGTAGTGGCTTCAGGCCGGGTTTGGCAAATGAGAAGCACCACAGAAATGAGGAGGTAGGAAGAAGAGAACAACCAGGATGGCATTTATACCAGTGGCTATGTCCCCTGTATAGCTGTAGCTCCCACCTGATAGTGCCCCCATGACTGTGGCTTAATAGGTGACATGACCTAGACTCTGGTACCGCTGCCTATTCCAAATAGAGGAGGTAACAGCTTCCTGCTACTGCCCATCTCTGAGATGTCTCACAGTCCTCTATCTAACTTCTCAGCTTATTTATCACCTGTATGGCTAATGTCCTAAATTTTTTGTAACCGATTCTTTATTCTGATGCATAGTGCCTTTCTATCTGGTTGGACCCTTACCAATAGTACCATGTTTCTGAGTTCTGATCAAGTTAATATGAGTGGCAGTGATGACTGTTGTCTCTATTAAAGCTCTGCATAAATAAACCTCACTTCTTTTCCCCTGTCCCTGATTGATGAGGACTTAGAAGAGAGTCTGTACCCCACTGGTACACATTACTTTGTGACATGAGCAAGAAATTATGCCTTTATTGAGTAACTGATCTTTCGAGGTGTATCTGTTACAGTATTTACGCATTTACCTTTTTAATACAGAGGTCTTCCTGCTTCACATCCTCTGAGATTCTTGGGATGCTATACTCACATGTGGAATAATTGTTGTTGTAAGATACTTTGTCCTAATGTCCAAAATTAGAGTTCAGTAATATTTGCTAGGTGATACAATTTTTATCTGGATTCTCAATTACTCTCTCCCCAGGAAAAATGATTAAAAAGGTGAAGTTGGAGCCGGGCTTGGTGGCTCAGCCTGTAATCCCGCGCCTTTGGGAGCCTGAGGTGAGTGGATTGCCTGAGTCCGCGGGTTCGAGACCCTCCTGGGCAGCGAGACCTCATCTCTACAACAAATCAAAAAATCAGCCGGGTGTGGTAGCGCATGCCTGTAATTCCAGCTACTTGGAAGGCTGAGGCAGAAGGATCATCGGAGCCCAGCACGTCAAGGCTGCGGTGGCCGGAAGCGGCCACTGCACTCCAGTTTGGGCGGCAGAGTGAGACTCCAACTCAAAAAAAAAAAGGTGAAATTGACATATCATCACATCCATTCTTTAAGGTTAATCTTCAGATTATCCTATGCTACTAGGATGACTCAATGATGTTAGGGTTTTTTTGTTCATCTTATTTTGCAATCTCTGTGTTTTCACCCTTGGGTACTTTGTGAAAGATGGCTTCCCACCACATCCACACACCAGCCTCCAAGAAGAGGGGAGAAAAAGAAGGTGCAGGGAGAGAGGTGGAGGAAGTTCATTGTATTCTAGATGCCACAAGCCAAAATTTGTGTATGACTTCTGCCCACATCACATGGGTAGACCCTAGTTATCCTGCCATAACTAGCTGCAAGGGAGATTGCAAATATGTCCAGTCAAAGCTTCTGTTGCTCAAGAAAGGAGTAATTGAGCTGGAACTGCTGTTGTTTGTGACATAGAGATCTTCCAGGCAAAGTAAATCAGGCTGTAAGTGGGTTCTCCACAAAAATCCAGAATAAAGTGAGTTCCCAAGACAAATACTAAAATGAAGACATAAGATCTTACTGAAAAGGTAAAGGCAAGTTAAACAGAATTAAAATTTATATTTCATTGAATCTAAAAATAATCTATCAATTAAATAATGTTCCACTGTCTTACAACTGCTAAGGAAAAAATATTCTTAAACTATGGCACTATTATTACTTAGAATTTTTATTTTGTACTTATTGCAGTAACTTTTCTAGATTTATTTATATAAGCATTTAGCATATATCACACTGGTGATATGTATTCAATAACTTTGTATTATTGCTGAATCATAGTATACTCTTCCTGATGATATTTTAAATGCAATTAAACTCAACATATATAGTGCCAGCAATGAACATCATTCAATTGAAATGAGGTTCTTATAAGAAACTATGGTCATGGTTTCACATGATCAGGCAATAACTTCAAGATCATTACCACTGCCCAGCCAACAATGACTATAAGATTCATCCTAAACTCAGAGATGCTGAAGTGTTAAAAACAAAAAGTGCATCTTTAAATAATTTAAATACTTTCATTAAATTAATGGAATGGAGGAATTATATTGTACGACATCTACGAGAGATATCATCTTATCTCTCCCACTGCCACTTTCTGTTAACTGTTTCTTTGTGAGCAGCACAGGTTTTGTGAAGTGGGATCACACCATCTTCTTTTACAAGGTTAAAATTCACTTTTGTTTTGCAGTAAATATTTACATAATTGTGACTTTATATATATATTGATGAATATTTCTATTTTTAGATGTAATTTATAAGCATAGCAAGGAAGATCAATAATATAGTAATAGAACAAGGTATAGAATAATATCCTTGACAGTAAAAATAACATATTGTGGTGATTGGTAACTGATAATTGGAGAGGATAAGAAAGGATGAAGGAATTTAAAAGGACACTAAAAGCCCTGACTTACATTATGAAAATGCAAGTAATGTTGTCTAACACTTACAGACCAGTGAAATATATGCTTAATCTTTACATTTAACCAAGAGAACTAAAAGTAAAATCATGACTAGCAGAGATATGGGAACAGGGAGAAGGGAGGAGAGAAAGTATAGCATGATCATATTTTTTATTATTCTTTTCATTCTCTTTTAAGAATAGCTGATTATTTTTAATGGTAGATCATTATTTGCTCATTTTGTATTCCATTTTTTATTTCTTCACAAATTCCATAAATGCTTAACTGGTACAGTTTTCTAGATAATTTCAAATAAACTAAAATCCTTAGTAATACCTCTGTGCTACTTCCCTTTGTGGTTGCCTGTTTCCTTTGTTCATTTGTTTTCATTTTAATTGTGAATTCAAATATTTTATCTAACTTTTGGAGGAAGAGTCTAAGAGCCTGAATTGGGTATATTTTTCAGGGAAACTATTGAGCTGGAATCTCTTTAGCTCTATTTAACGATCGCTTCTCATCTCCTATGTTGCAGTGAAACACGGTCTTGGTCTCCCATTCCTAGGAATAAGTTGTCATTTATCTTAGGGTAAGCTTTCCACTTATAGATTTCAGCTTATTTCATCCCTGAAAGTATCTGTTTTTCATGATTTCAGTGATGCTGATACACTAAAAAGTGTATCTTAGCTTGAACTTTGTTATACTATAGTGGGAAAGTCTTTCATAATTTTCAGTCAACTGTTTCAATGGAAGTCAAGAATTCCAGCATGGTTTAGCTGGGCGCCTCTGGCTCAGGGTCTCTCACAAGGCCACAATCAAAGGACCGCTGGAGCTTTAGTCATTTCAAGACTGAATTTGAAGAGAAAACATTTCCAAGTTCACTCACTCATTGAGGTATTTTTTGGCTGTTGACCAGCGTCATTTGTTCCTTGCCATGTGGGCTTCTTCACAAACAACACTTACCTTTCCTCAAAGAACACCAAGAAGAGAGGATAAGATGGAAGTCACAATCATTTTGTAACTTAACTTAATCTCCAAAGTGATTATTTTTGCCATAGTCTATTCATTAGGAGAAAGGCATTAAGTCTAGTCCACCCTCAAGAAGAAGTTACACAAGGGCTAGAAGGCAGGAGTCATCAGGAACCATCATATAAGCTGCCTACCACAATGACAAAAAAAAAACAATTTCAAGAAAGCAAATTGGTATTTAAACAAATCACTTGCCACTATTATAGATGTCTTTCCTTGAGTCCTTATTATTACTTTGCTCACTTAAGTATATTTAGGAAATGATGCTACACTATACTTTTTATCTTAACATTTAGATAAATATATATATATATATTCTTACCCTCATTGGATTTGTTCATGCCTTTATTGTCCTACACAGTCACTGCAAATTCCCCTTTCTGTGAATCTCTTCTATCTAGTTTATCTTACATACTTTTTAAATTATCTTTCCTCCATGCATGACACGTCTACCATGCAATTCCTCTTCCACAAAGTTTTATTTGACTCCTTATCTCTAACCTCTCATCTGTTTCTCTAATCCATTCTACTTGACCAACCTAGATGGCACTGTTTCCCTAGGAAGCAATCTATACTGAGACCATTCTATTTCCTATCTCTTCTTTGCCTTTATTCAGGTGACTCTGCATGACTGCCAAGCTTTCCCTAGGCCTAACTTCCTAACAAGTGCTCTCATAATTCCCCACAGTCTAGTTCTAGTACCATCTCTTCTGCTGAGGTTTTCTCCACTTCCTAGCTAATAATGTTTTAATACGTATAATTTCCATTTTATAGGTAATCACATGCAGTTTTGTGACAGTTTTTATAACAATATAACTTTCAACTCTCACTAATATTTAATATAAATATAATGGTTCTTCAGGTAGATTATTAGTACCTCAAAAACAGAAAGTGGTCTTCCAGAATACTTAAATCATTCACCACACACCTAGCATATA